TCAAATATCGTTGCATCTATATTTATGAAAGCTTTCTCTCTCTCTCTCTCTTTCTCTCTCTCTCTCTCTCTCTCTCTCTCCCCCAACGGCCGTATCTACCGATTTCATAGCAGTCCGAGCGAAATTGCGACGCGTAAAAATATCACGAAATTTCGTTTCCGCCCGTTCCAATTTGTTTCGCGTGATATTCCTCTCAATTTGGCTCTATCGAGGCGTTACATCGGATTCGGGTGATACGCCCTTAATTTCACTTTTATCGCGTTGGTAACTTACCGCGGACAGTTATCGAATAAATCGCCGCTCTGACATTTTTTCCTCGCATTTTCGCCCCGTTCGAATGATCGAACTGCGGTCGAGTGTGCGCGTCTAATTTTCCCCGAGGTCGCGTTCCGACGGATCGCGGATCCTGACCTTTCCGCAACGCCAACCGGAAATCGATGCTCGCTCGTAGACACGTGCCACGCGACGAATACGACGCCGTTCGAGACGATGTCGGCAAATTAGCCCCTACTTGAGGCTAAAAGGGGTGGAAAGTAGAACTGACACACGCGCACACTCTCTCTCTCTCTCTCTCTCTCTCTCTCTCTCCCTCCCTCTCCCCCCTCTCCCTCTCCCTCCTTCACGAGGGAGTGCAAGAGGAGCAGGTAGGAGGAAATAATGCGAGTGCTGCCTGGAGAACGGTGTGCCCGACAAAATTACAATTTGGGGGATGTAATTCCGCTCCGGAGAAATGGCCTCCACATACCGCGTGGCGGGGGCCAGGACGGAAGTTGGTGGTGAAGGAGGAGGAGGTGGAGGAGGAGGAGGAGGCAGGGGGCGCAAGTAGGCAGGGTGTTGGGGGTGGGAGAGATTTATCAACAGCTCGTTCCGCACTAACTAGACGCCGGAAACTCGAAAGATATTGCATCAGCGAGGCGATGATAGCGCCACGACGACTGGCATTAAATTGCATCCGGCCGTTGCAGGAATTTAGCCGCCATTACGGCACCCCTCGTCTATCCCCCCGCCGCATATATACCCCTTCGTGGTACTTCCTATGCGCCTCTTCCACACACGACGGCGACGTGGGTGCGAGCGGGTCGTCAGGTGTTCCGGTGGATGCCAGTCGCGAAATATTAACTCGCTACGAGAGAGATCTTATCTATCGATTACGCGGGGGTATTAATAATGTCGTGTAATAAATAATGAGAATTAATAACTCAGGCCGTCCGTGTAAAAAAGAGATTAACGAAACGGATATATAGATAAAGGAGCACGGTCGGCTTCTCGCGCACAGCGCAGCGTGGCTCGAGAAAGAAATTTCCCGTAAAAGCCGTAGTTTCTTATAGGAGGGGGAGGAGAGAAGGGAGCGAAAGATAGCCGGGGCGAAAGTTAATTTAAAAATTTCATATCTCGCGAGAGATATGCGACGGCTAATTCCATATTGAGCTTTCCTGAAGGCGATCGTCTGCGCAGAAATGACGGTTATAATGCGTAAATGCAAATTGACGCGCGGCATAACAGGTTGCAGTCTCGCGTGAAGTGACTCCGCTGCGCGAGTAAACGTTTGCCGAATAAGAAGCTCGAAGCAACCCCGTCACTTTGCGGGCACGGGAGAGGCGGATTGTGTGAGGTCGGAGGGTTGGGACATTCGTGCCTCCGGGGCTCTTTCCCCGATCAAAACCGCCAAATGGATAAATTACTCCCTCTCTCGCGCGTCTTGGCAAACTCACCCCAAAACGTGTTCACCCTTCACCTGCCGCCGCGAAAGCCGCAAGTTGACGGGGAATTCGTCGCCCTTCCGAGCGATTTCGTGCTTCGCGGGGACGACGACGAAGTGGAACGATTTTATCACGGCCGGATCGTCGCGCGTCGATAAGTAATAATACGAGGAGTCGTCCGGACTCTGTCGTAGCGCGCGACGTGTGTCTACGCGAACGTCGGATTAACCCTTGAAACGGATCAACAGCGAAATCTTTTATGCCGACGGCGGAAAGCTTTTGATCGCGTCGAATTAAGCTTCCGGGAAATTAATGTGCCAAGCGGCTACCACCACGAGAGGATCTGCAGTTACAGCAGCGGCGTGGTCGCGTCTGTGTAGCATCGCGCTCGTAATAAACTTCCGCCGTGAATTGAATTATTCGCAACCGCCTATGTACTCGCTAATAACCGTTCGCTCGAGACCGATGTAAAAATAAACGTAACGCAACGAGAAAGGAGCAGATTGAAAAGTGAAGGGCGAAAGGGCAAACTTAATTATAGATCGATGTGGAGCGTAATTTGCGCGCGAGTCTCAATTGAGCGACCTGCGAAAGGATTAAGCCGCACTCGGAGATTGGACTTGTCGAAGCGAACGCCATCGAATTATTCTCGCGAAGATTCATGAATGTTTACTTCATTCTCTCTCTCTCTCTCTCTCTCTCTCTCTCTCTCTCTCTCTCTCTCTCTCTCTCTCTCTCTCTCTCTCTCTCTCTCTCTCTCTGCCTCTCTCTTTACGCGCGCGCATGTCGTAAGTCCTTACTCCCGCACAAGGTGGATCCATTTGTTTGTCTTCCTCTCGGCCGGCGTAAATCATTAGATTTACGACTGCCGACGTTATACGTACTTCCGCTCGCAGTCATGCCCGCGAGTTTACCACGTCTGACTAGACACGGGTCCGTACTACTGAGACGCGACCTAATAAGCTCACACTCGGCACGGGAATTGACGGATCGCGATCGATCAATCTTCATAGTGGCGTGAGAGAGGAGGCGTCAAAGAAGACGCCTCCTCTCTCACGTTTTTCTTTCTTGAAAAACACGCTACACGCGGTGTCTAAGTGCGCGCACCTTGCCGCTATCGTGACACTCGCTGACGCGATAAGCCACGATGGCGGACGTTATGAAAACAGCTCACTTTCCTCTCGCGTCGTATCGTCGAAAGTAAATTTCGTGCTGGCGAGCGTTATTCCTGATCGCGCGTACCTCCGTCACCGTGTCACTCGGCCTCGCCGAAATGGACCTTAAGCAGATTATTGCGTTCGACAAGAAGCGCGATTTCCCCTGCGTGTACGTGGGTAGGTGTGCGAAGTACATAAGCGTGCTGCCGGCTACCGTGCGCACCGTGTGTGTGGGTGCCACTAATTCGTATTTAAAGCTTTATCGGACGCGTCCGTACCCCGCGCAACAATTTCACGGTTCACAGAAGCCATCCGGCGTCCAGGATCGCCGCCACCGCCACCACCACTACCACCGTCGCCACCGCTACTACCACCACCACCACCACCACCGTCTCCGCCGTGTTACTATAACCACCTATATCGCATGGTCGTGCGCGCTCGAGCACCTCGAGTACCGAGGCACGAATACCAGCGGTAGTCACTTAGATAAGTATGTACTTCGCCCAGCTACCTTCTGCACAAGGAATGAACAGAAATTCGACTGGATGCAGCACCGGCTATCTTTACGATCCTGTGTGTATTCCTGAAGCGATCTATAGCAATTTTCTCCGGAGCGGAATCATACATTTTTCATTTATTCAATGTATGCTCCTCGATGAAGAATTAAAAGCTACGACTCTGGCTGATTTATCGTTTAATATTTATCGGAGGGCAATCGGGAAACTTGTACACTGAAATTTTGCCGCAAAATTCTCCTTGCATAATTCGGAGGTAGGATGTAATTAACTGAAACATTAACGTAAACAATGGGGTGTTTTGTTCCCTATGTATCGACGCTGCTATAAAATGCGCGCGCGTGTGTGTGTGTGTGTGTGTGTGTGTGTGTGTGTACGAGATACATATACGTACCCTGGTTTAATAAGAAAGCAACTCGTAAAGGTGAAGTCTTCCTCAACCACCGCATCGCGGCCATCGCCCGTTTCTTTCTTCGTCCTTTTCTTCCTCATTGCGCGTAGAAGTAGAAGATCACCGTCGTGTTTTATCATCCGACATTTATTCTCCTCCCTCTGTCGCTGTTAATTCGCACCAGCCTATTGGCCTGCCGGAGCCCTCGTGCTAGATCGCTTCAACCCCCAACGACGGTACCAACCTCTCCAGTCGGTCGCGCACTTTATCCGCCTCCCCGCCGCTGGTGGATGCAATTTTAATCCCGAATTCCGAGAAAATTACCTTACCGTCAGAGCTGTTTAAGGGAGTACTAGGTGAGATTGCCTCTGTTACCTGTCAGCTCGCTTGACATATACTACATTATGCACCAGGCTGTTCAAACTAGAGTCTTGAGATTATTCTCTAATTTAAATTTCTATTTTCCTCTATTCGCCTCCCTTTCACACACACACACACTCTTTTTCTCTCTCTCTCTCCCCCAACCTTTCCGAGCGGGAACAGTTACATTTTAACGGTAGGTTCGGAGGTATTTTAGCGAATCGCAAATTTGGTAATTTCAGCGTCCGAATATTTTCACAAATAAACAAACACGATTGTGCCGCTTGTATTTTCAACTGAAGTTGATGTTAAATTTTTAATTGCAATTTTGCTATGAAACTTTCCGCTTTTATCAAGCAGAACAAAGCCCTTACGGCCGTTATTATTAGTTGTACGAGTTATAATTGGTGGGAACTGTAGAATATATCGAGTACGCTGAATATGCATGCGTATCACTCGTCCTTTGTGAGTGTTTCGCATTACGGAGAGAAAATGAACGTACCTGCAACCCGTTGAAAACCGCGCTCTTTGAAAACACAAGACACACCCAGCTGACTGAAGGAAGAATATAGATAGGGCTAATGGAGCGCGATAACATTGGACGACGGAATTTCGTTTACTCGGCGATATCTAAAGTTCCGCCGGTCACGCGGAAACGAGAAGTGACATTTGACCCAAAAGCGTTCTTCTCGCGCACTCATCGCGTTACCGTAAGTGTCAGAGACGGTACGGAATTATAACGTTACTCTGTATTACTGAAAGATTTAATATTTAAAGATAGAGCAAGAATGACGTCGTCCAATGTAAACAATAACTAGGTGGGGATGACTCGGTAATAATGATGAGGCAACGTTCAATAATCGACAGTACAACGATTAATAATAATAGTAACAATAACGACTTTATTGCCACATACATAAATAAATGGACATGGCCGATGTACAGCGTACAAGCTGGATCGCAATCCGATCCGGATGCGTCGAAACTACTGTCGTACTCTCTCATTCTCTCTTTCTCTTGTTTTCTCTCATTCTCTCTCTCTCTCTCTCTCTCTCTCGCTCTCTCTCTCTCTCTCTCTCTCTCTCTCTTTCTCACTGTCACTCTCGCATTTTCCGGCGGCACGCGCAGCCCGATGCAGCCGTCGCCCTACTTACAACAATGTTTCTACTTTGTATCGGAGCACGGGTTAAACAGACACCGCATTAGAAGTAAGCGATTCGCGAGGAGTAATCTCCTTGAAAGGGCCTTGCGCCACCAGCACCGAGAGCGCGGGCTCGTGGGAGCTACGAACGATTTGCCTACAAGTGGTTTCGCCGCGCGAGGCGTACACTCGGTACACGGGGTGTAAAGTATCAAATGAAGGGGTGGGCGACGAAGGTGCTACGGAGCGGGAACAAAAGAGGGACGATCTAGAGATCGTTGTCGTCGTCGTCGTCGTCGTCGTCGGTTCGATTCACCGCGGACGTTGGCCGCTGAACGGCGATCGCGCGTCTCTCGCCGACGCACGTGCGCAGATCGGCGTGATACACCTTGGACACACAAAGAAGCTACACCTGTCTAGAGCGGCGGGTAATGTATTTCTTATGGGAAGCTCTAAAATGACACAACTTCGAGTGTGTCAAGGCCACTATGCCGGTCCGCGTACGTTACGACGCACAGTGTTGCAGAAATCGCTAAACGCGGCCAAAATAGGAATTTTCGGCTCCCGTTTTCAATACATTTTCTAAAAGGTCCAAATTAATAAGTTGCAGTAACATTTTGATGAAATCCAACTGTAGCACGAAGATAAGTGAATTCAAATGTACACGTGACGCGAAGTACAGAATAGCTGGGTCATAACCCTCTAAATGACATAACTGATTCTGCGTTGAAACAATTTTTTATCATGAAAGTGATGTTCCCTGTCTAATATCTCATCTGTGACGATGAATAGTTATATTAAATATTTTGTTTAGTTAATAATTGTATGAAGTAAGAAGCAGAAGATAAAAACTAAAAAAGAAAATAAAAAGCAAAGAAAGAACAAAAAAGTAAAAAATAAAATAATAAAATTAGAAAACATGTTATTTTAGTGATAAAGTACTAGTATTTACAATATAGTATGCTTTTCATTCAACTATAGTACATTATAGCGACAATTGATTTATGGCCACTATTTGGAGGTTTCGCAACACTGTGCGACGGCCCGAATTCCCACCTTCATCCGGCTCGTTTAGCGTCGCGCGCTCAGCATCGCACGTGTAGTATTATTTAGCGTAACGTATTAGCGCGTCGCATGTAACACATGTCGCATTTAGCGCTACACGCGGCCCTCGATATGTTTACTCCTGTTTCGCATCCTTTGCGTCTTTCCGTTGGATCGCACGGGACGCGAGACGCAGCCGCGTCTGCAGCGTTAAACGCGCGATGAGAACCCGGTCCGAGGTGTGTGTGTGTGTGTGTGTGCATCATACGGAGTAGCGTCGCGGCGACAGTGCTACGTACACATAGTTTATATACGATCTATCCACGGTAGCACGGGGATGTGCCTCTCCGGGTCCCTGTCGGCGGATCCCCGATGGACATCCAAGGGCCCCCACCGGGGGAATACACAAGTTCGTGCCGAATCCAGGGCGCCAAACAAGCAGAGCGCGCGCTTCTTCAACGGCGAGGAAATACGGCGGCGGGCGCCGCGAGCCTTCCGCAAGAAAAACTTGAGCGAACAGCGAGAATCCCGCGCTCTCCCGTCGCGTATCTCGCATTGACCGGCGGCGCTGGCGCGAGAAAAAGTTCAAGGGAAGATCCGCTGAATGGCGCTTGGAAATATTCTTCAGAGAGAATTTTCCAAATACCCGCGATTTCGAGAGAATATTTCCGGCCGGACAAGATCTCTCGGGAGAATACTCTCTTTGTGTCTACTACGACGCGACGCGCTTCACCACGTCGCCGGCGTAAGAGAGAGAGAGCGGCCCCCGACACGTGCGGCCGGGCGCGGGCTTCTCGCGTTTCCGCCTCGCGTAAATATCTCGCGGATGAAGATTGGCTCGCGCCGCGTACAGGAAACACCGTGAATAGGGAGAATTGACGTGTGCTTACGCGCGGGATTGAAGCCGCAACAACGGCCGATTCTGCCCTTGCACGGCAACTCAATTAAATGTGATTGATGCTAGACTGAAAGAAAACAAACAACGGTGGAAAAAATGGAACAAAGGAGCAGAAAAAATTGCTCACGGGAAGCAATCCAATAGCAGTTAATTGACACGTGTGTGCACGTCGGGGGGGGGGAGAGGGAGCACGACGCCACTCGTCGGCGTCTAGATCGGACCCTGAGTAAACTAGGAGTCCTCGTGGGGATGGTGCCCGGCACTTGAAAGCGTTATCGGGCATACGCCGCGTTCATCGAAAAATAGCGCGTGCTGAGGGGGTAATTGATTAGCTTTCGATTATTCGTATTGATTTATCGTGTCCTCTCACGAGTATCCTGACACGTCGCACTCTCGACATTTCCGCCCGTTTGCCGCGGTTTAGATTCGTTTGATATCGTTTGCAATGTTCCAATGAAGGCCTCGTCCCTGATCGCGCCGATGGCCGATCGCAGTGCTCCATTCTTCTCTCTCTCTTTCTCTCTCTTTCTCTCCCCCCCCTCCCCCCTCTTTCTTTCTCTCGCTGGGATCACCGAGTCACACAGTAGTCCGCCGCGATTAGTTGTAACGAATCGGCCTGTGCTGTCGCGATACACCGTCGAGCCGCGTCGTATTAGCAAATCGACTTGTCTGCCTGACAGCTACCGTCCGGCCTGGCGAGGAACAGCTTGCCACTCGCGCACGCACACAGTTGATAGATGGTGGTCTCCCTCTGGCTCTGATGAACGGATGAAGATCTGCCAGAGTGCTGCTGTTGTTGCTCCCTGGACGAGTGTCCTTGCACCGGGATGGCTGCCTTGAGACCCTTCATGTAAACGGACTTTGCGTCAAGCTTGATGGCTCCGTGAACGCTCTGTAGCTTCAAATCGGTCAGGCAAGAGGCCGAGATCTCGCTCGCCCAGGACTCGATTACCACTCGCTGAGGGGCGCTGATCTTCAAGGCCCTCGTCGCTGATTCGAGCCTGCGACGTGGCAATTAAAAATCGTTTTTTCAGTAACAGAGCAATAGGGATAGCTTGACGATTTAGGACGCGAGATTCCGATCAAATGCACAGATCCTCAAGTATTCCCGCATACATACACATATTTTGTACATGAAGGCGAGGGTAACGAGATAATATCGCGTGAAATTTTCGATCGGTCAGGATCGTCGGCTATTCTTTCGTCAGTACGAACGCGACATCGCTCGCCGAGAAGATCGACGAAGAGCGGCCGGTTGCTCTCTCGAACACGTCGCGAGGGAATATTAACGACGAATTATACGGCGCTTTCCTAACTCCACAATCGAAAGTAAGACACGGATGATACGGTGATATAAGCGCGCTCGTCGACGGCGTCGCGCGATTACGGGCGGACTCGTATACCTCAATTTCAGTGCATTACGTTCCAACAATGACGCGGATTACACAATAAAACGGCGGTTGTGTGCCGTAAACCGCCGCATTATATCCAAGTATTCCAGGAACGGAGTAATATCTGTATTGACTTCGTCGGGCCCGAAGTCGAACTCTCGCAATAATCGATTCTCCCATCCGCAGGAAGACGGCCCGCGCTCGTCCGTCTCCTCCGTTTCCCGAAGTCGCTGCTCTTTTACCGTCTACTCCGCCACCTTATTCTCCCACAGTCTCATCCCCCTACACTCACCTCCCTCGCCCACCCGCTTGCCGTTCGCTCTACCTCCTCGGGAACTCGTAGGATCCGCGGTATTTCATATCTGGCGCAAATCCAATCCTATGAATATAATTTTCCGCGCGAGCAAAGTTTTATTGTAATCGTAAATCCGTCTGTAAATTGCCCGGCGCTATCAATAACCGCGGTGGCGGTACAACTCCGTTCTGTCTTCTCCCGTCCCTCTCTTCCTCCTCCTCCTCCTCCTCCTCCTCTTCTCCTTAACCTTTGCCATCTTCGTTCTACTACCGTCGCCGCGTCGTTCCGATCTCTTGCCGTAATACACCGAGGTGACGCTCGACGGGGAAATCACGGGAGGAACACGGAATACAGAGGGCTGGGGGTGTTCGGGCCGAAGGTGCGATGATCGGGGATGTAGGTGGAAAGGAATCGCCATTTCCGGCGAAAAATGACTCCTTCGCGCTGGTGCGAGACGTCGTTGCCGTGCATTGTTATTTGACGAGACGACCGGACGAGGATAATCGATCGATCGCGCTCGCTCTCACTTGACGTTTTGTTGCTTAATATCGATCGGCTGCTTTTTCGTCACTTTCTAAATATACGTGTATCGTGGCCTCCGCCGAGCCGTAGAAAACTGCGCTCCTCGCGAGATTCAACCGGGTAAAACTAAACCGGGACAATCGCGACATCTCGAGCAGATCGGTCGTTTTTACGACTGTCCGACCTGACGAAACAATAGCCCCTGGGAACTGAGTGACCCGATTAATTTGAGTGAATCTGTCTAATCGCTACTCGCCGCGGATAAAATCATGTGCATGAATTTGTGCTGTTTCCGCTGCAGTTGCTCGCATGAATATTGATGATCACAAATAATTGCATATTATTTGGGGACAATATTTAGAAATCGTTCATCGCCGGGTAATACGAACGATGCTAAACAACCGAATAATCTCTACGGTAATGTCGAACCTTAAATGTTGTAAGCGACATTTTTCCTAGCACGACCAAACTCTTTCGACCTTAAGAAGTAAATGACAAAAGAGAAATTTATATCGCAACGATTTTTTATGAAAAACGAATTTTTGAAAGAATTCGTTAAAAATTGTTACGTAATTCTATATTATCTTACATACGCGTTCGTGTGAACATAATTTATTTACAAGCCAAGTGTGTATTATCGAGCTCAGAAACTGCGGCTTCTGTCTCCAAGAGTTGAAAGAAGCATTTCGTTGTAAAATATTCACAAGCTGGTTACCTAAGACCGCGGCCCGATTCTCCTCTGACCAATGGAGTCTGCACGCTACCCTGAAAAACCGCACCACCGTCGCCGGTCACCCTTAACATGTCCGCCCCCACGATAACCTGTTCCCTATCCGCGGAGAAAAGTACTCCTCCACGAGGATCGGTTACTCGAAAACCTCTGGACACACAGTCGACGCGGTCCTCCCCTGAAAACAGAATCCGGTCGAGCACGTGTTTAGCGATTCCGCCGGCTCTTATCAAGGGCACGATTATGCGCGACGGCAAATTGCATGTCGTTAAAACGTTTCAAGTAGTAGATTCCCGCGGAATAGGCCGCATGATCTTAATTCATCGGGCGTAATCCTATTGCTCGCGCGGGAAGTTAAAATTACTTTTTAATGCCGAGCCCACAATGAAGCGTGAAATATGCGGGCTGTTGTGCGCGGTTATTTTTATAACTTACCGACTGTTAATCGCGCGAGGAGCCGTCCATCGTGGGATCTCGCCGAGGCCGTAAAATTACTCCATGATTCCAGCACCAAGTTTTTGCCCCTCCGAGATCTCAGGCTGGAGGCCACGAGGGCGTCTAACACGGCAGCTTGACCTCTTAGCTCGATTCCCCCAGGCACCACTTTTAGCGAACCGATACCTTCCTGAAAGAAAAGGAAATGACTGTCAGGACAGGAGGGGGGGCGAGCCGTCGAAACTTTCTAGACCGTGGTTATAACGCTAGACAAAAATAGAGCAAGAGCCCCTCGCCACGATTTATTGCCCCTTGTATACCCATTCTATTTTCCATCAAATTGACAGCTTACTCAGGTTTCCCGTCCTCCCCTCTCTACAAATACTGCTTTAACCAATGCTGAAATATTTATTTATAAGTTCTATTTATATCCCGCAAATTGATTCTCCGATCGCTTATCACGACGGCGCAACCGTCACCGTGCTTTCCCGGAGGAAAGCTCGATGCTAAATTCATCGTCGCTAAACTATCGTCGAAATTGAGATCGTGCACGCGCGGTAGGACAGGCTGTATTAAAGTCCAAGACGCTTTTGCCGAGCGCTGTATCGTCTCTCGGCAAAGCCAGAATTTATTAAAATCGGACCCGCCGTACGTCGGGAAAGCCTCGTAATATCGATATCTTCGAGATCAAGTAAGCGCGCCTCGTCGCGCTCTCGTGTCGTAAAATAAAATAATATACTCCATTACTGTGTCGAGTTTCAGCGTGACGGTGGTATTAAGTATCGGCGTCGCCGCCATTATTGCCACTTCAGACGGCTGAATTATAAATGCGGCGATGAGCTACGTGCAGGTTACGCGCGGTGATCCATTGTGTCTGTTCGTTTGAAATATCTCCCATAATATATCCGAAACAGTGGCGTAGGCAGAATTTTATTTTAACACAGCCCCTCTTTCTTTCTCCCCCCTCCCTCTCTCTCTCTCTCTCTCTCTCTCTTTCTCTCTCCCCTCTCTCTATCTCGCTCTTTCGCTCTCCGGCACTCCGTCTCTTTCCGCTCTTCCCCTCCTCCTTTCCTCTCTCTTTCGCCCGCCAACCACCCCTGAGGTGTATCGAGCGGAAAGGGTGGATGGTCGGCGGGGCTTGGGACGAAAGGAGAAACACACTATAAAGTAGACACATTGCGCGTTTGCATTTATCTCGTAAACTTCGGATAGTCTTCCACCTGGGACTTATCCCGAGCAGAAAGTGCAATTTAGCGTTTATGAAACAGTCTTACCGCATATAATTGCGATTGAGTTTCTCCGGATCCGGCCGGTCTCTCGGTGTGCATCTATTCGAAGGACCGAAAAGGTCACGCGTTGCCTTCAAAAGGCGATCAAAAATATACGCTGCATTCTCGGATATTTATTAATAGGGACGCATTTCCTCGAGAAAATTCCAAAAAGATGTCAGTCGTTTCTAGTGTCTAACGTAATGAGAGAATCGTAGCATTCCAAATTTAACCGTGTGTTACGAGTAATTGGGGTTTAAATTTGCGCAGATTCTACTCTCTTGCAAGCGCGCGCATGCGCGCATGTTCGTCAATATGTGTAAAAACGGGTTGCGTCGCTCTTTAACCTTTTGCGCGTGATATGAATATAGTTTGATACATGGCAGCCGAGCCATCGATTACATTCCTATATTAAGGCAAACGCAGCGTATTTTAATATCGTCCCTGAAAACGTGTGCTCCCGATCGAAAAGCCCGTTGTACGGCGGAACGTTAGGAACAGTTTGAAACGCCGCTCGGTTTGGCGAATCTCCCGCGTCGAGTCCATTGCAAGCCTCTCTCCTCGCTTCCTCTTTTTCTCTCAATTGACTGCGTCTTCTTGAAAATACCATTGCAGTAAAATAGCTTGTCCTTCGTGGTACCGCCCACATTGGTTTCCGATGATTGGCTGCTCGATTGAAACCAATTGCTGCATTCTGTCCATTTATTATTACAACTGCGGGAAAGGAGAGAAAGAGAGAGAGAGAGAGAGAGAGAGAGAGAGAAAGAGAGAGAGAGAGGGAGGGAGGGAGAGAGGGTGAGGAACAGGGAGAACACGTTGGCAGGAATAAACGCTGCTCGAACTAGTTTAAACCTCTGATCAAGCGAACTCCATTTCGTCGAGGTCTTTTTTTTTGGCTGGACGTAGCACCGACCGGGCCGAATATTTGCACACGGCGGAGCAATTTGATACGTCGATCCGCGGCGAAGCGATAGAAGGTAATTTCTCTCGCTAATCGAGATGTGAAGAGCCGAGCGGCTGGAAAGACAAACTTTATTATCGCGAATGTGCGACACGAACGCGACCGATATTCGGTAGGAATGTAATTCTTGTGACTTACATTTCACGCAGGCAGACATACACATACACACACACACACACACATACGGGGAGAGTTTTGAGTTAGATATAGTACATATTTATATATTGGTTTTGTACGAACAGAATATAGAATTCTCGTCGTTTCAATGTAGAGAGTCGTTGCTCAATTATTTTTAAAATAAACAAGAGCAATTTTCGCCAGAGACGTAGAGATCCTTTTATTCACATTTTATTAGTTCGACGGATAAATAAGCTTTCAACTCAAATATTCGTTTACACATATTCATTTTTCAAATATTTCTATATAACAGTATTTAATGCTTAAATAAATATCGGACTTTAAATATCCAAATGGGTAACTTTTTGTGGTGCACGAACATACGTGTAAATATTAATTTCTTGCATGTAGGTATTGGTAAGAAAATTAATTATTATCTCACATAGAATTATAATTATACGATAGACGCGCGTGCACTCACACACACACACACACATATACGCACATCGACTAAATCATAATAAATACTAGATAGCCTCAGCGTGAGATATGCGTATCATAATATTATTATTCGCATCCTCGCATTGCATTTTTGCTTATTATTGCGGTCCCATAACTGGCTATTGCGTTGCTGTAAGCGTCGGCGTTCCGAAGGAAACGACTGCCAGATTTCGCCAAGTACCAGTTGCGAGATCGCGGTTTAAATACTCGTTCATAGAGTCTCCCAGCGTCAGTCGGGATGCGCGTAGTTGCGATCGCCAATGGAGAAGAGGGTAAAGGGGGGGGGCGCCGAGCCACCGGCACTCGATTAGCCAAATCGTTCGGAAAACGATACGATCTCTTTGCCCTCTACTTAACCGTAACCGTAAACCCCAATAGCGCCCGCAGAGAGCGAGCGAGATAGTGAGGAAGAAACAGAGGGAGGCACGACGATGCGCGGAAAATGAGAACGAAAAGAAACGCCGGAATGAGAGAAACGTGAACGATGAGAGACAGAAAGAGAGGAAGCAGAGAGAGAGAGAGAGAGAGAGAGGGAATGAGGAAATACACAATAAGAGAGAAAAAAGTGCAATCGCATGGGGAAATGAGTGGGGGAAATGGGAGAAGAATGAAGAGAAGAAAGAGAAAGAGAAAAGGAAAGAGATAGAGGAAGAGAGAGAGAGAGAGAGAGAGAGAGAGAGAGAGAGAGAGAGAGAGAGAGAGTGAGGGAGAGGAAACGAAGAACTACGGCTGCACCTGCTTTTTAGAATCACCAGACGGTCGGGAGGAACCTCCGGAGTCGGAGAGATCGCCCAATCGTGGTGGTGAGAACGAGCGGCAGTAGTAAAAGTAATCTACCGTCAGACAGGTATCATTAAGTCCGAGGCTTTATACCCTTTTTATCTCGTTGTCTGTCGGCTGTTGATAAGGGGATTTAAGCGACAATAAAAAATATCGACCCTTAGCCCTCTCGCAGCGCGGAAACGGGCGCGTGCCTTTTACTATCCCTCTATCTCGATCGCGCGGTTTTTTCCGAAAAAAAGGGGGATGAAACGTGAAAAGCGAAAAAATCCGCGCAATTAGCCGGCCGACTGAATTTCGGCCGGCAGGATCGCCCGAATACGCGCCAGCCATATTTCCTTTTTCGTATCGGTGCAATTGGTCGCCACCGCCGCGACATCAAGTATTTATCGTGTCGAAAAATTGCGGATTCGTGCGCGACAGCGAAAATTGCACGGCGCGACCGATTAACAGATTTTCGTGCCGAGCTGAAATCAATCCGCGACAAGCTCGACGGATATAGGACACGCGCCGCCTCTCTGCCCGAAAAAAAAATCTTCCGCGTCGCTTTATCATTTCGCGTCCCGCACCGAATTTCTCGGCGATATCGGGACGCATTATGTCGACATGGAAGGAGCCGGAATCGCTACGGTGGCGTCGGCTGCGGTAGTAATGAAATCCAAATAACACCCTTAGTAAGCATATATCATCGTAACGACGCGACGCCTCGGCTCGACGCTAGCCGGGCGGGCTGGTCGTCGTCCATAAATTAATACAAAGCGCGTTATTTACAAGGATTACTAAGGTGTTTCGTTTTCGCGTTCTCGCCTGTTTTCCGCTTGGCCTAATCGTGCTCGATTCCTTTCGCCGCCGCTTTTCGCCGTCGAGATAAATTTCGGCCGAGAAAAGCTGCTAAAAGATACAAGTATCGTGTTTCTTTTTCGTCTGCTACCATATTTCATCTTTTAATCGTTATTGCTCGTACAATTTTTCTCTTTCTCTTTTCACCCCTCCTCCTCTCTCTCTCTCTCTCCTCCTCTCTCTCTCTCTCTCTCTCTCTGTATCTCACTCCGAAACGTTTCTCTTGTTCGATCAAATACGCAGATGCGAGCATTCTGAAAATAGCAAGCGTACAAATATCTAAAGTGACAAATTTTATGGACATTCGGATGCATCGTTTTTCAGCGATAGTCTAATAATCGAGAAATAAATATTCTCGGTACATGTAAATACCTCTCTTTCTTCTTTGTTGCAATATATCCCGATAAAATTATGTTTTTGTCTAAGTATTTTACGGTCATGTGCGTGTAAAGTTTTCTCAAAGTGAACTACCTGATAAATTCGTCGGAATATCGCGCTTTCTTGATGCGCTCTCGATATTATTTAAATTTCGCCGGAAAGCAACACAGCGAAAACCCAAGAATATATTTCCTAAATTGCCTTAACATAAATTTACATCCGTATGAAATTCCCGCCAGGACGCAGTCAAATTTCAACTGCGATGTATTTCGTTCCTGCAGATGAATAGAAGTCGGCGCGCTAAACGCGCCACGCCGTTTGGGCGAACCGATTCGCGTGCATATC